ACTCACTGGATATTCACCCATTAAGGATGATTGTGATGGTCTGAATATATGAAAGCATGTGTTCCAGCTCCTGCCAATATCCAGCAACTTTGCACAGCCATTGAAAATGAGTGAACCAACATTTCACAGGCCATAATCAACAACTTGACTGACTCTTATGAAACAGAGATGTTGCATGGTTTGAGGCAAATGGTGGTCATCTCAGATACTGACTGGTTTCCTTTGAGTTAAAATAATATTGTAATTTTAATGTGAGACACAAATTAAATGTCTTTTAACGTACAAACCAAAACAAAGTTAAAATTATTATTAATAAGTGTATAAATAAATGTATATAAAGATAATATACGTGTATAAAGTGTATATAAGTGTATAAATAAACAAAACATACAAGTCACAGTTTAACACTCTTTATTAACTGACCAATGCAACTTTATTTAGTCTAGTTAAAAAAATCACATTTAGTCTGTTTTACATTTTGCTAATTCGGCACACACAACCTCTGTCAGCATTAACTTTGCCTCGTGTCATTTAAAAAAAATCAATAATTGACAGCAATTAAAGGAATAGTTTACAAATATCTCTCTCTCTCTCTCTCTCTCTCTCTCTCTCTATATATATATATATATATATATATATATATATATATATATATATATATATATATATATATATTTATCATTAATTTACTGATTATATATTGATTACACCCTCAACTAGCTGACTGATGTGATTTGCTATTTTTTAAATATCTGAAAGGCTGACCATTTTGGTGTGAAAGGCATGGTTTATTCCAATTCTTAACAAAATACAGGAGTGATAATAATGAAGCCTGATCTCACAAGAAAACATAATATTTTAACGTTTTGTCAGTTTAGGGCAGGGGTGTCCAAACTCGGTCCTGCATAGTTTAGCCCCCTCTTCCTTCAACACACCTGTCAAGATGTTTCTAGTAAACCTAGAACAGGGGTGTCCAAACTTAGTCCTAGAGGGCAAGTATTCTCCATAGTTTAGCTCCAACATTCTTCAACACACCTCCCAGTAAGTTTCCAGTATACCTAGCACAGGGTTGTCCAAACTCGGTCCTGGAGGGCCGGTGTCCTGCTGAGTTTAGCTCCAACTTGCCTCAACACACCTGCCAGGAAGTTTTTAGTATATCTAGTAAGAACTTGATTAGCTGGTTCAGGTGTGTTTGATTAGGGTTGGAGCTAAACTCTCCAGGACAACTGGCCCTCCAGGACCGATTTTAGATACCTTTTACCTAGAAACAGCTTGATTAGCTGGTTCAGGTGTGTTTGATTGGGGTTGAAACTAAAATATGCCGGACACCGACCCTCCAGGACCGAGTTTTGACACCCCTGAACTAGTAAGAGCTTGATTAGCTCGTTTAGGTGTGTTTGATTAGGGTTGGAGCTAAACTCTCTAGGACACCAACCCTCCACCGAGTGTGGACACCCCTGCAATAGAGCCTACGCACCAGAGGTGCTCAGTCCTTTAAAAGATGCAAAATTGTTTGTTTTCTTGACCACAAAGTTCACACATATATGAAATATTAAGTTTGAATCTTTGCAAAACTTGTTTAGCGGGATAAATTCTATGAATTCCATGTATTTTCTATGACACTTTGACACTTGATTAAACTCTAGTGCTATTTTGGGATTTCCGCCTGGATTTTGCCTACCCAAATTTACAAGCTTCCCAAATCCACATGCAGAGGTGTAAATGCAAAAAAAATTTGGTATCATTTTAAACAAAACTATTTGAATTTTCATAAAACACTATTGAAAGTGTTTAAAATAACTGTACATGTTGTTTGTGTTATATATGCTATCCCTTTAAATCTTAAAGGGAAAGTCGATTACTTCACGGACCTGGTTTGAGAGGTTTATTTAAATATTTATACAAAACTTATTTATCAACTTACAAGCTTTATTCCAAGAAAAGTTTATAAATAATGAAAGCCAAAATCTTTCTTGCTGTAGGTTGAGACAACGAGCAGAGAGCATTCCTTGTAACCTTATTGCCACACTGTTGTTTTAACACATCCAAATATTTTATGATAATGTTTTCACAAAGATTAGCTATGCTAATCCATTCTGAAATACAGTTTTAAAAGCATAACTGAAATCACTCTGCAGGAAGGTGTCTAAAAGCTTTTGACACCGCCAGAACTTCTGATCACAATGGCCATTAATCAGCTGTCAGAAAACATGTCAAACCAAAGATCAGAGATTTTAGCCTAGGATTACAGGAATCATTAGGGTTTCCCAAATTTGTCTCATATGACCAAGTCGTGGCGTGAGTCACAGTGTGAGGAGTGTTTAAGTTACCAATCTCATTCTGGAGTTATTTCAAAACTACAGTATTTGACACAGGGTGAAGGGCAGTTTTCCCACCCGGTGGAGGAAGAGAAATGGCTGCACCAAACCACCTAGTGAAGAACTATAACCTGACGTAAATAGGAGCATTTCAGCATTTCTAACTGAACCCAATAAAACAAGATCTGAAATGATAATAGGAGCATATATGATAACCGTGCTCAGAGTAGTTATAAGAATGAGATGAAATGCTTTTTTCTTCACGTGGTTTTCCTCTTTCTCTCTCGTTCTCTCTCCAGGTCCTGACTGCTTCAGAGCTCTGAGAACAGCCAAACAGCAGAACAACTGGATGGAGAGGAAGAGGATGAGTTGAGCAACCGTGAAATAAAACAACAAGTCTAAGAGTTCAAAATGAAAAAACAAAGCAACGACCCAGCAGGAAGAAACCAATGTGGTCCAGACAATAACAGAGCAGATCACTCTATATCTGAGAGGTTTGAACTTCAGAAAGGTTACAGGATGAACCACTGCCAGGTAACGCTCAACACAGATCAGACTCTGAAACAGAGAATGGCCAGTCATGGGTGGCCCTTGTCCACAAAAAAAAGCAACTAAAATCAGCGTGCTATCAAAGAACACATATAACAGATTGTTCAGACTGAGAAGGATTTCACAGATGGAGAGGTTGAGAGTGAACAACTCTGCTGCGAGTCCATTGCCTGATCCTCTCACTGTAAGATAAATCACGTAAACGTTTGAAGGAAAACTCAATGCAATGGTGATTATATTCATTGCTAAAATGATTTCAGCAACATTGCTCATAGTACTATTAAAAGAACCATTTGATCCATCAGTAGGGAAGATCTCACTGGAGATGTTCATCTTGTCACAAAGTTCATTCAGAAAACACAACTGCGAACAATGAATGAGAGACACCGTGTTAGCCCACCAGAACATTCTGGGTTTACAATAATTCTTAAAGTTTATAAGAAATAGATATTAGGTTTTTAGTATTGAGTAGAACATTTTAAATGACAACACTGGATATTAAATAACTCTGATAATACAAATTTAAACATGCAATTAAAAAATCATATCATTTTTAAATAAGTTCATTACCTTTGTCCTGTCATTTACGATAACATCTGCAAAAAAGGATCTGTAAGAGGTAGTCACATAAGGTAGAACCAGTCATCTGTTTGACAGGGACTGATGTGGCATATTTATATCTGCACCCTCAATGCAAATACACCCAACATATTAGTGTTTGTTAAAAGTTTTTCATACACGAGATGAGAGCATTAAAGCAACAAGATCATGTTCATCTTTATCTCTAAACACATGTCAGTAAAGTAAAATGATTTGTCATGGATTTAGCTATAGTTAAATAGGGAATTCTATACACAGATTAGACATAATTTGTAAAACAAATACCTGCCTAACCTTTACAAAATCATCCCAAATCACACAAACAATCTAGGGAAAAGGCTCTTTCGGACAGTCTCCTATCAAATGTTCTTAACCAGTGGTTCTCAAACTGTGGTACATGTACCACTAGTGGTACGCAGGCTTCCTTCTAGTGGTGCGCGGAGGAATCAGTGAATAATTAAAGTAAAACAATGAACACACTTTTAACCCTTTGACTCGTTTGATAACACCGATCTGATCAGTAAATTGATTGCAGTGGGCTAAACCTTTTTATTTTATGTACAATGTTCTAATGTTTGTTAAATTTTTGTCTAATGTTTATAACAGTTGTTGGGGCGTATCCTGTATTTTTTTATCCCAATGTTAACAGGTATAGTTTAATCACTTGCTTTTCTGACACATGTTGCATGTATATATGAATTTGTATATTTAGAAATTTCACAAAAAGTTTATTCATGAGAATATAGCCTACACTCTAAAAAAAAATTCCGTAAAAAAACGGTAAAATGTACTGGCAGCTCATTACACAAATATTTTACCGTAAATTAAAAACGGAAAACTTCTGTTAATTAACAGTGTGTCAACATTAAAAAAACTAAAAAATATCAGTTTTTTGACAGTTAAACTACTGTAAAATAACCAACCATTTTATAGTAATTTAAGGGTTTTCTATATAAAAAAACGGTTATTTTCTGTGTTTTTAAGGGTATACCAACAGTAAAAAAGCGGAAATATTCTGTGTTTTAATAGTATACCTACTGTAAAAAAACAGACAGATTCTGTGTTTTAATAGTATACCTACTGTAAAAAAACAGACAGATTCTGTGTTTTAATAGTATACCTACTGTAAAAAAACAGACAGATTCTGTGTTTTAAAAGTATACCTACTCTAAAAAAACAGACAGATTCTGTGTTTTAAAAGTATACCTACTCTAAAAAAACAGATTCTGTGTTTTAATAGTATACTTACTGTAAAAAGAGGACTTTGTGTTTTAATAGTATACCTACTGTAAAAAAACAGACAGATTCTGTATTTTAATAGTATACCTACGGTAAGGACAAACATATACATATGGGAAATACACTATTAATGGTTTACCATAGTAAAACAAAACATTTATTCTATACTGTATGTGTAGAGAAGCAGTAAATAGTTTGTTATCTGTGAACTTACAATGATTAGTACAAAAACAACTTTGCAATTAAAACAGATTCTTTAATGAATACAAATCATTTGAATTCCAAATAGCCAGTTATACACAAAATAATACATATTGACATGTGAATCGCACAGTGAGAAGTCTTTGCAAATAATCTCATAGCAAATTAGTTTTAAATGTTAGCTTCAAGATAATTAAGGACAAGTGGGAAAATTACAAGTACTTTACATTAAGAAACCAGGTTAACTGCAAGATGGCAGGAAACAGACGATACAACTGGGTCTTCTTCCTCTCCAATACTGATACTTCAATGGCTGTAAAACAAACAAAGAAAAAAAAAACATTACTAATGACTTTTCACTTACAACTGGGGTGATTCCTTGCATGTCAATAGTTCTGTTAATCATTGACTCTACATTAATAGATGTTAGTAGTCGGTTATAAATACAGCTACAAATGCTGTAATCTTGACTTAAGCACATTTATAATGTGCTTAATAATTGTGTTAACAAACTTTAATGATTGATTTTACATGACTATTTTTATATTTAAAAAAAAAAACAAAAAAAAAAAAATATATATATATATATATATATAAATTGCATTATTTACAAAACTTCTTCCAGTTTGGTGGCCTAATCTAAAGTGAGGATTATTTATGATTTATAAATCCTTATAAACGACAGTTAAAGGCTCAGTATTAAATGAACAATAAATCATTACAGTGTTATCTAAAAAATGTAATTACTGTAAATATGAAACCTTGCTGAATAGCAGGAGTGCCAAAATATAACATAAAACTGGATAAAACAACAATAAAATAATTTAATGATATATTACGATGCAACATTTCAGTGTTATTTAGCTATGTTTAAACTGTACAGTAATTTTATTTTAGATAAGATTTATTTTTCATTTAATACAATAAAATGAATTTCATTTTTAGAATATAACTGTACCTTTAATTGTGATTTATAAGGGGATTTACAAAGCATAAACAATCCTCACTTTAGGCTACAAAACTGGATGAAGTTAACAAAAGCACTTATTAAAATATTGTAAATACTTTATATACTTATTTTTTTATACTTTATATACAAGTATAACTATTACTATTCATTCATGTATTTTCCTTCAGCTTAGTGTGTACTCGCACTATGTACAGTTGCCTTGAACCAGGCCGAAGCACGTATAGTTTATTAACCATTAATAAATTAATCTAGTTTATTATTAACCATAATAAACTAGAATAGTTTATTAACCATTTACTTAAACATTCTGAATGATTAGAAAAAAAACACACCAACTATTCTTAAATCACTGGTTTGTAAATAATGCGATACTAAATTTAGTAATGAAAAATTAATCATTAACAAAATATGAAAACAAAATAATTAAGCACATTATAGATGTGCTTATAAGTCAAGATTACAGCATTTGCAGCTGTAGTTATAACTTGTATACTAAGGTCTATTAATCTAGAGTCAATGCTTAACAGAACTTTTTTCTAATGCTTAATAAATTAATCAATAGTGTTTAGTTATTATAAAGTGTTACCGGTGTGCTTAATTACCTTTAAATCTTCCAAGGATTCTCAAAGTCTTTCTGGTCTGACAGGAATCGAAGGAGTTTAGATGGTATGTTTCTGCTTGGTGCCCTTTTTTCTGCTTTGGACCTACATTTTGGATAGTTACTCAGCATGCTCCTGTTGTAAATACAACAAACATGCATCACCTTACTTGTCTTGTAAAAATTAAATAAACTTAAAAATGTAAAAAATACCTTCATATAAACTACAGAGTCAGGGCTGCTTCCTTAGGCTACATAATGTTTAGCACATAAGAGACTAAACATGTAGCTGACCACAATTAGGGGACAGCTCAATGATCTTGTTATTGTGACTGTGGACTCTTCTTCTGAAAAAAAAGAAAAGAAAAGTGAGTTGTGTGTTTGGTCTGGTACACGCCCACATGGAAAGAACCTATATAAACATATGGTTTAATATAGGTTTTTGATATATGTGACACATATAAAATTGGCTGTTTTCCTATATTATATGTACATATATGGGTACATATATGCACACCTATATGTTAAATTATTAATATTATTAATAATATTATAAATAATGTAATTATTATGTAAAATTATTCAAATACATGTCTGCTACATAATTTAAAAGAAATTTTACAAAAATTATTTACTTAATCAAATATTACAAGAAATAAATATAGTGCAGAAACAAAAATAAGGCAAAAAACAACAATAAAGGAAAGAAAACAAAATAAAAAGAACGACAAACCATTTTGTTATACTTTTTCTTATTTTCCATTATCTTTATGCAAGAAAGAATTGACCTTGCAAATGTTTCAGGAAAACGTGTAGACATCAAAGCTTTTCATCTCCTCTCACTTATTTGCCATAGTTAAATTCCATAACATGGAATGCCAATGCCAATTACATGTGATACCAAATTTAAGTGGCACATTCATAAGTTTTTTGCATTTTTAAAATGAGTTCTTTTCCAGATAGCAGATCTAAGTTAAATTAACATTGAAATGTTAAAACATCAATCAAACTATCATTGAAACAATGTTAAAAGTCATCACTGATTTTTAGGCAGTTTTCCACCCTGAAATAATGTTAATTCTATGATGATAAATAGACAAAACTGTCCCAAAATCAGCATTTATTCAACCAAAATTAAATCCATTTTTTACAATGAACCCAACATTAAATAAAATGTTAAATCAACCACACTATCATACAATTAATGTTAAAATTTAAAGTTGATTTTTAGCCAGTTTTGCATCCTGAAAAAATGTTATTACAATCACGATAAATAGATTAAACGGTCACAAAATCAGCATGAAGGCCTGGCTCACCATCAAGATGCCTACATTGATAATGTCTTTCTCATCATCAGGTGGCTAAGAGAGAAAAGAAAAGAGATTCAGCAGTGGACCAGTTATTTCCTTATCATTTTAAACAGACATAACCAAAATAAAGAACTTGTAACATTTTAAATGTTGTAAAAAATAAATAATAATAATAATAAATAACTGCTTTGTTCATTTAACAGATTACAGTAGCAGCTTAAAAAACCCCAGATAAAACACCCACATCAACCCAGTACTTTTAGTTTGAATACATGTAAACAAAATTTCAAAATTACTGAAGCAAAATGTGTTCATGTAAACACTTAGTAAAAATATAGGTACAAGTAATTGGTTTTGCCAAATAATAAAAATAAAAGCATCAATATCAAACAAAAACGCTGAACATTTTACCTCTTAAACTTGTAAGTTTACTGTCATCCCCTGTATGAAGTACAGATGGTCCAGCACAACTGCCTGAGTTCTGAAAGAGCAAAAACATATTTTTTTGTATTATTTATAAAAATGCAGTACTGGGGCCTGTTTCAGAAAGGAGGTTAAGTGAAAACTCAGAGTATTTTAACCCTGAAATGAGAGAAACTCTGGGTTTTCCGTTTCAAAATGGCAGGTTTGTTAAACTCGAGAAAGCAGGGTAAGTTAAGCCTGTTTCTAAAAGAGAGTTAACTTTAACTCAGAGTCAGTTACCGTGGTAACTTACTCTGTGAATCTAACCTGGTCCGGAGCAGGTTTTATTCTCTAAACTCTGAGTTTCTGTTGGTCTCCTCCCCTTTTTAAAGATGAAGGGGTATTTCTCGCATTAGTCTTACGTTTCCACACACCTATTTTAGAGCTCATTTTGGAGATGTGCATAATAAAGATTGATGGAAACGTCATGATTCACATAACTTTTGAAAATACGCATAATATAACATGTGCATAACTGAGTAGGTTAAACTTTTATTTGATAAGATGCACATAAACTACGAAGTGCACTTAACAAATTACAGTATGTACATTAAAAAATTGTTTGTTAGAGATGATGATGAAAATGTGTGTGAAAGGACAAACCAGCAGACTGAGCACACTGCAGAACATCTTAAATGTTGTTTTAGTCATTCTAAAATGCCTTTACTGTTTCAGTATTAGTGTATATTATTAATTACATCCGAGCGTCTGGAGCGTGTCAAGATCTCCGCGTCTGGCTTCAAACGCCCCCACGTGTTTATTGCGTGTCAATTGTCTTCTGAGGCTCAGGTACATTAATTAAATAAAAAATCATTGATGCAGCTTCTTCTACCGCAGTAATTCTGTTTTTACTGTTGATATTTGGCGCAGGTTAATCAGGAATTGACGATTGTGTTCTCTTCGACTCTTTGGATAAAAAGGCTGCTTTATTTTTAGGCGTTATTCCAGTTTTGCACAAATTTATGTAATCGCCTATATTTTGATGGAAACACAGCTATTGCCTACATTTTTGTCACACACAGAACAAAGTCACGTACGAGGCTTGTCCTTTTTTTTATAAATAATTAGCTTAACCTCGACATGCACTGTTACTAGATTAATGGGATTATTATTCTGTCTAAATTATTGTATTACTGCTTACCTTCTTAATGTTATATCAACCTCTATCACTTGATCAATAAAAAGGCAGACACATAACAAGTGCACTGTTAAATCTATTAAAACTGATAAAAGTGTAAAAAGTTTAGAAAAAAAGTATAAACGTCACACATTGCATTACTTATTTTATTATACTTAAAATGTTTAAATACTTAAAATTAAAAATTACGCATTAACTTGGTCAGCTGTTTTCCCACGCTGTCTCTGTTTCACTGATGGTTGCTTCTTTTTAAATATATACACTCATATTTGCTATAACTTTGCATGAGCACATCAAGTTCAGCTGGAGAAAGAAATGCTGATCTCTTTTTTTTAAGATGTTGCCATTGTCACTCGTAATGTCTGCGCTCCATTGATAATGCCTTTTTATAGTCACGGTGCGCGCGCTTAACTCTGAGTTGGTCTACTCAAAGTTGATTGACCCAACTCAGATCAGCTGTTCTGAAACCGAAAACTCAGAGTTTTTAATCTCTCTGTAAATCAACTCAGAGTTCAAGTTTAAACTCTGAGTTGTTTGAACCTCCTTACTGAAACAGGCCCCTGACCAGTCAGCATCAATTTCTACACCAACACACCTACAACAAAAATAGCACTCATTCAGTTTGAAACATGCAACATGTAGTCTACTGTTATACTTTACAAACTTTGTGAATAATAAAAAAAATGAAAACATTTAAAGGTGTATTTTATTTCATTTGTCTATATCAATTGAAATTTAGTTTGGATTGAACGTAAGATTTAAGATTTTTATTTAGATTGCTGTGAAAATGTACCTGTACCTTGTAATTATAACCAAAATGACAGAACCTGGAAGTCAACAAAGCAAAATATCAGTGAACCTTATATATAAAAAACACTCAAAATCAAACAGAAAAAACGCTGAACATTTTACCTCTTAAACTTCAAAGTTTACCGTCATCTCCTGTATAAGGTACAGAAGGTCCAGCACAACTCCCTGAGTTCTGAAAGAGCAAACACATTCTTGGTAAAATGACAATAGATTCAACGCTAAATATAAATCATTGTTTTTATGGTTAAAAATGCAGTACTAACCAGTCAGCATCAATTTTTACACCAACACACCTACAACAAAAATATCACTCATTCAGTTTGAGACAGTATACATTCAAACTTCAAAAACGTTTTGAATAATAAAAAAAATGAAAACATTTAAAATCCCAGGTGTATTTTATTTAATTTGTCCATATCAATTCAAATTCAGTTTGGATTGAATCTAAGAATTTACCTGTACCATGTACTTATAACCAAAATGAAAGAACCTGGAAGTCAAGAAAAACAAAATATCAGTGAACCTTATATGTGCAAAACACTCAGACTCAAAATCTACATAAAAAGATTTCATTTGTGATAACACCATGTGTAGTTCACTCTATTATCAAGGCTTCATTAAAATAAAACTCCTGATCTTCTAATAGTAATGAAAGTATTATTTGCTATAATGATTCGAACTGATAGTTAGTCTGAAGAATTTTAAGACTGTGGAAGAACAACTCATCTTTATATCTTCATATTAGCAGCTGTTGAGGTTCTTAAAAGTGAACTTGGCTGAATCTGCAAGTTGACAAGACGTTCATAAGTATAATATCCATGACAGTTCAACTCGACTACAACAAACATTTAATTGTGTGCTTTAAGGTACACGTTGTATTTGAGGCCTAAAACGCATGACAGTGTAAACACTATATAAAATTTTAAATGTCACACACTTACTGTATCACTCTGTTATCTCTGTACACACAAACACACGTCGCGAAATGCGGAAGATTTTTTTTCGCTCCATTTGGCGAGCGTTATTAAATTCCATAACATTCTCATCAGTTCTTGCTTCTTATTTGCGTCTATTACCCCAGTTTGTCACGCGGGATGAATGAAATGTTTATGAGTTAAAGTGAAACTGCCGAACTGCAGTTAAAAGTCAGGCATCCTGCTGATTTGATTCATAAGGGCACTTGTTTGTCAGACGGCTCACCGGTCAGGTATACATCCGCGCTAAACTACAAAGTATGAAAGTCACTCAGCTCCCAACCCAGCGTTGAGAATAGATTAACGGCGATATATTTTTTTATCGCGCGATAAAAGTCTCGCGTTAACGCAGCACGTTAATGCTGATAAGGGCCCACCACTAATAATAACTTTATGAGTGTGTATTTCCCCTCATACCGATTTACACAATGCCTCAAATTCACGTGGGTCTAACTTAACGTTATACTTAAAAACCAGCAAAGCTGTTCCACTGAAACTCGGTCACACAGCCTTAATACGTCGGTCAAACTAAAGCTAACATTTGATAACGTCAGTAAAAATATGAAATTAGTTATTAATATGCAAACAAACACAGACGGTCAGGTGTTACGAGCGTTTGAAACAGGTTAACGTTAGGGTTCATTAAAGGTAACGTTAACCAGTCATCGATATACACCTTCAGCACAATATATCAACCAAACTACACAGTGTCACAAACTTTGAATGCTATCCCTTGGTCAATGCACTGTACAAAGAAAACATTTATATTTCTATTAAATAATTAACATACCTTTTACACTCTCACAGACAAGCTGACGTTTTACCGTTAACTTAATCCAGTCAGACTCACGCAGGTGCAGAGGGAGTGAGTGGGTGATTGGGACGTCACACTTCCCGCGCACGGCAGTTTAGAAAAATACGGACAAACAACTGTAAATGAACAGATATCATATTTACTGATGAGGAAAACGCATAAAAAGGTAAAAATTCATTAGATAAATGCTTGTTTAAATTACATTTAACCACTCATAGCTCAGTTTGATCTTAATGATAAAAAGTCGATCTTATTAACAATATTAAACGTAATTCTGCTGTACTTTCCATGGCTGCTTCAGACAAGACAAAAATCATTTTAAATAACGATACAAATGTAATAAAGCAGTATTTTAACTAAAATATTGTTACATGTTTTATTAATCGTACTTACCAGGGAAAAAACAGAGGAAGAAATATGTCCCGGTGTCCATCAAACGCTGCCTGAGCTGCGATCCCCTTCCCATAATGCAATTCGAAAATGTATATAAACGGAAAAACACCCGTAATACGTGTATACGGAAAAAATCCGTTAAAATATACAGTCATTTAACTGTTATTTTACAGATTTTTTTTACAGTGTATATTAATGGGGTACACGGAATATTTCCAGGTTTTGAGGAATAGGCTACTATATGTTAATGCTTTAGATTTAAGTACAGCAGTTTTCTTTTTAATTTTTAAGAACAGTGCCATTTTAATTAACTTTTAAAAGCACATTTTAATTTAAACATTGCCTTTTTATTTATTTAAGCATAGTACAGTGTTAATTCATTCATTCATTCATTCATTCATTTTCTTGTCGGCTTAGTCCCTTTATTAAAAACAAATAAAGGTCTGTGTCGCCACAGTGGAATGAACCACCAACTTATCCAGCAAGTTTTTACGCAGCGGATGCCCTTTCAGCCGCAACTCTGCAATCTCTGGGAATCATCCACACACACACACACACACACACACACACACACACACACACACACACACACACATTCACACACACACTTTACAATTTAGCCAAACCAATTCACCTATACCGCATGTCTTTGGACTGTGGAGCACCTGGAGGAAACCCACGCAAAGGCAGGGAGAACATGCAAACGTCACACTGAAACGCCAACTGAGCCGAGGCTCAAACCAGCGACCCAGCGACTTTCTTGCAGTGAGGCGACAGCACTACCTACTGCGCCACTGCTTCACCCTACAGTGTTAATGTTTAAACTATTTAAAATGTTTAAAGTGGCTGACAATAATAAATATTCTTAATAAGAGGAATTAATCTGCCACGTTTTTAAATTTTTTTATTTACTGAATTAGGTCTACTATGCCACTGTACTTCAAGGCCCGGATTGGCTAATCGGGAGGACCGGGAGAATTGGCCGGTTTTTGGCTGCGGGGGCACTCAGCAGTCTTGAACTTTTTTTTCATTCATTTATTTATTTATTTGACCATAGCCTCACTCTTTTTTTATTCGTTATTTTGCCGCAGGTCCGATCTTTCGCAGCCTCATGAGCAAAATGCAGCCTGCAGGTTAATGATGATGGAACTATCATTCGACCACAAACAGCACTAACATGATGGTTCCATGTGGTGATGCCACGACTCGGATTTGAGTCTCACCTCAGTGATTATTATTATTATTATTATTAATATTTTTTTTTTTCATTTTTAGTGTTAAGACATATAATACTGTTTGGGTTACTTATAGGTGTACATATTTTATTTTTTGTGTGACCACCGTTACAAAGGACTGGATATCTATAAAGAATTTTGCAAAGAATATATATATTAAGATAATTCAGGAAAGGACATTGTGATGTTTTAAAGAATACTGTTGTGGCTTTAGCTTCCCTGTAATGTTTTAATATTTATGAAAAACATTTGAAGTTCTAAAGCAACAGTTTCCTAGAAAAAGACATGATAGTGTTATTACAAACTGACCTGGAAATGACCTTATTTTAATATAGTCAGTCGTGAACTGAGGTGGGCTAAGGGTTGAAACTCCTGGGCTGAAAAGGAGTCCCACTCCGGCCCTGTGTACTTCAATACTATTATTATTATGTTGGTACTTGGAGAGACATTTTTTTTCTAAGGTTGTACTTGCTGAAACAAGTTCGAGAACCACTGATCTAAACCTTTCAGGCTTCAGATGGAAATTTTAAGTTTTATTTTAAAGTTCTGCTTCAGTGTACATAATGTTTAAAATGATACAATAAAAAAAATGTAAAATACTACTATTTAACATTGATCTTTTAGATTCTGTACTTCAGGTCTCCACCTAACTTACAGTTATGGATTGTTTTGTCTGACAACATATATAGAGATAACCAATAATTTGACACCACTGTTGCAACGTAGTGTAAACATGACCATGTGGGTAAATTTATGCAAGACAGAAGAAAATAAGTTGTGTACACACAGACTCATCAAAATAAAACAGCATATTTAATCTGAACTTATTAGAATCTGTAAAATGACAGGTGATCATACTAAACTTGATGGTTGAAGAATATGTCTTGCTGACAAATGGGTAAAACTGAGTGGTTTAAAGGATAGTGACAAATTAAATGGATGTAAAATGACAGAAGCATTATAGAGATACACAGTAATCCTGTCACAGTAACATTTAATCAAATAGATCTTGCTCTAAATATGCCTGAACAACGCAATTTTACAGCAATTCGTAGCTTTTTGATTTAGTGGCTAATTTAGTATGATTTGATCATCATCCAATGACGGTTTGGCTTAGGGGTGGGTTGAGTGCCACGCCTCCTTTTTAAAATAGTACATTAAGGTATGACTCAACTTTTACAAATTCGCACAAATTAGCCACTAAACTGATAAAGCGTAAAATACTTACGTTTCCTCGTAAGATCAGGCTGGCCTGACTGACACTATTTTGTTTTTGCTATATAAACTGTTTTACATTGATTAAGATTTTGGTGTGTTTCTGCTGAAAATCTTCTTTTTTATGTTTGAGACAAATTTTTACATTTATTTACATTTATTTTCCCTCAATAAGTTCCAAACTATCAAGTCTCTTTATTATGTTGAACACAAAAAAATATTTTTAGAAGAAAACTGAAAACCATTGACATCCATAGTAGAAAAAACAAGTTTTATGTAAGTCAATGGTTACAGGTTTTAAACATTCTTCAAAATATCTTCTTTTGTGTTCAACATAAGAAGGCAACTCATAAAGATTTGAAAACGTTGACAGAATATTTATCTTTAGATGAACTATCCCTTAAACTTTTAAAGTCTAAATCAATATGGCAATTAATTTAGCGAAAAAAAAAAAAGATTTATTACAATGGGAATCAATTCATTTAGTTAACAAAGGGCAGTTTCCCAACACTGAGAATAATAATAATAATAATTTATTGTTATATAGCGCCTTAAAAACTTAATTCTCAAAGCGCTTTACACAAAAAAAGACACAGATTAAAACAATTTAGAATAACAGAATAAAAATGAATCATTCCGGCTAAAACATTCACAATTGATTAAACATTCAACATTGGAAAAACATTCAAATATCTAA